TTTAGCAGAGCTTTTGATAATGTTAATCACGGAGCTCTATTGGATACGCTGGCTGAATGCGGAATAGAACCCCAAATAATCCTCATCTTAAAAAACCACTACTCAAAATTAGTGGCGTGTTTTAGAATAAACGATAAAATATCTCCTTGCTTTAGAATTAAAAAAGGTGTAATACAGGGGTGTACTCTATCACCACTCCTATTCAACATGATTTAATAAAGTTATAAGAGAAGCACTAGGGGCAGCTGATCTAGTTGATCTAAGATCTGATAAGTCCATATCCTTTGTTAACAGAATAATATCATATGCTCAAGATTGTAATCTCCAAGAGCATAGATGAAACCAAAAATTTATTATACTTGTTGCAGTTTTACTTTACAAAAAAATGCATTATGCAAATCGTAAACAAAAATAATGTTTTATTAAAATATCCCCGTCTATGTAAATGAGAAAAAAACGCGTGAGATTTGTAGATTTTTTCATACTTTAACAGTTTTAACAAGTGGGATGTAGAACTTTTTATTCTTCGCTAGTGAGACTATGTAAATGTGGATTAAAGAAAAAGGATATATAATGGAGAAATTATGAGGCGAAAAAGGGAATTATTATTTTAACTAAAATTTTCTTTTAATTTTTTAATTTAATTTAATTTTATTTTTTTATGATGTTTACTATTATAATTTTGAATAAAGAATTAAAGTTGATTTTATGATTTCGTAATTCCTAATTATTATTAATTTCCTTTTATATATATATATTTGTTTTCTATTTTTATATTTAGGTTTTGATGCACAATGACAACCATGTCGTTGTGACAATGGTGTTGGAGAGCGGAGGAGACCGGCCCTTTACAACCTTCAGTCTGGGACCGGTGGGACAACAAGGAGATGTGTCAAACTGTATTCTAATACAAAAAAAAATTCCAGAAGAACGTAAGAAAAATATGTAAATAAAGATGAAAAGGAAAAATTATGTTGTTAAGATTATGTTTATGTAGGAATATAAAATCTAAAATTAAAGACATTAGGAATTTTATGAAGTTACTGGTAAACTAAAAACCAATGGAATTTTGAAACTAATAAAGACTATGATATTTTAGATTTTAGAATTATTATCAAGTGATCACTAGAAATAACTTTGACAAAGAAATAGAAACATAAATTGCGAAAGTTAATATTTAACTAATAGGTTGCTGAGATATAATAATTAAAAAATTCGGTGAATAAGATTAGAATATAACTTTATTGTTAGGAAATAGTTGATTAAATTCTTATTGAAGATTTACGTTTAACTTTTATTTTAAGGGCTGCGAGAGATAAAACAGCCTCAAGGATTAATGTGAATTAGTATATTAGGTTGTAGATTAACCAAAAAATCTTCATAGAGAGAATCGGCTTTTCGTCATTAGAAAATTTATGCCGCAATCGAGCTCAATTTGAGATCGGATTTTTATTTTGAATCATGAATAAGATTTAAGAAGAATCATACAATATTATTCTAATAATACAAAAGCAAAAACATGCTTTAGAAATATACATATCAGTTTTCAACAACGGTTGTGCGAAAAATTATAATGATTAAATTTCATAAGTTCTTCAAAGACGTGGGGTGAAAACCATAGTGATTAGAAGTAAGAGGTTGTTCATAAACGTAAGTATGAAAACTTTTATGATTAGGTCATTGATTTCTCAACAACGTATGTATGAAAAGAGATTTATATATTTCAGCAGTTTTTTAAAGACTGAGTGTCAAAGAGTACATGAGGAAATAAATACACAATGATAATTTTTTTAAAAAAAAAGATAGGTTTTGATATATATTTTAGAATAGGATTTTTAGATATAAATTTAGACATGGCTGAAAAGAAGATGAGATCAATAGCTAAATACAAGTAAATTTTTCAATGAAAATATGGGTCTAGGCTTCATTAAGGGGAGAGGGGTGATAGAATGTGATATATTTATATAATTTATTATATTTTGCTACGTATTATAAAATTTAAGATTTAGTATAATTTACGCCATTTATTAAAGGCAGAATTAGTTTAGAGGAGATAAATGTAGATATGTAAATAGATTATTTTAGGTAGAAGTAGATTAGATGTGATAACCCGATATCTCAGCAAGGACAAACTGTCGTAGAAGACCCGAAAGTCTGAAAGATAGATACGATTACAAGAATTAGAGGCAACAACCAATCAATTACAAGAGAAAGGGGGAAAACAAGCAAATTGATAGAAAAGAGGGTCAAGACGTTATGCTGCAATCGTTAATCGCTGACCAATAATAGCCAATTATTCCGAGACTTTAGTCTTGATAAGAAAGCTATGATAAATTGTAAAAAAGATTAAGACAGACTAGCAAAAAACAAGAGAGGAAAGGAAACTGGATGTCATCGATAATCGTTATCAATCGTGGATAGTGGAAAACAGGCGTGTATCAAGTTCGTCAGTGGCTTACAGCGATAAAAAGCTGATCGTTTCACAGGGTGACAAGCGACAGATAGAATTCAAAAATTTCAAGCGACAAAGCCTTCGTTAGAAGAATAAGTCGAGATCGAAAGAAGATTGATTATTCGCAGATTGGTGGGTCTAACTTAAGTGGAAGGGTGTTGCAGTTTAAAAAAATGCATTATGCAAATCGTAAACAAAAATAATGTTTTATTAAAATATCCCCGTCTATGTAAATGAGAAAAAAACGCGTGAGATTTGTAGATTTTTTCATACTTTAACAGTTTTAACAAGTGGGATGTAGAACTTTTTATTCTTCGCTAGTGAGACTATGTAAATGTGGATTAAAGAAAAAGGATATATAATGGAGAAATTATGAGGCGAAAAAGGGGATTATTATTTTAACTAAAATTTACCTTTAATGATATTTTATTTTATTTTTTTATGATTTTTACTATTATAATTTTGAATAAAGAATTAAAGTTGATTTTATGATTTCGTGATTCCTAATTATTATTAATTTCCTTTTTATATATATATATTTGTTTTCTATTTTTATATTTAGGTTTTGATGCACAATGACAAACTTGTCGTTGTGACAATACTTACTAGAGACCCTAAGTCAAAGAGTTGAGCTTGAAATAAATTTCAAAAAAACTGTTATTCTCCCCTCCCCAAATGCTCCACCAATGGACAATCTTACTTTTGGAGGAAAAATAATTAAGGTTGTAGATAAAATTAGATACTTGGGTATAACACTAGACAACAAGGGTAGTGGTAAAGAGTAAATGACGATAAGCAAAAGGCGAGGAGTACCTTCTACAAGTATATGAAAATTTGGAAAACAAAAGAGATTTCTGTTTTTACCAGACTGAAGTTATTCAATTCGACAATTGTCCCGGTTCTATTATATGGAGGGGAAATTTGGGAAGCAAATAAGATAGAAATGAGACGATTACAATCATTTATAAATAATTGTCTAGGTACAATAAATGACATTTTCTATCCAAGAGTCTTATCAAACCAAAATCTCTGGAAAAAATCTAATCACACGCCAATTAATATCACTGTAAAAAACCACCGTAATTAGTTCCTAGCCCACATAATAAGGAACTCCGACCACAATTTAGCTCATGACGCCATAGCATGGTTGTACACACATAAAGAAAAACAATATACAAAATATAAATCCTTATGGTACTATAAATCCATAAAAGATATAATGGATTTAAATATCAATATGAAACAATTCATAAAACTTAATAACAATAAAAGATCCAACTTTTCCGCATCAAAAAAAGTTACCTCAAATGAAAACGTATTTTGAAGTTCTTTGCTCACATATCATCAGCGTTTACATGAGCGGGAGGGATAGGAACAGTTTGCATCCTATTTTTTTGAGAGGGTATGGGGTAAGCTTCTTTAATGGGGGTAGGATAAATTTTTTTGGGGATTATTTATTAAATTTTGAGATGAAATAGGACAAATTTATTGCTGTAAAATAATACTTTTATTATAGTATTATTATAATACAATTTATCGACCAAATCTATATTTGCAAACAATCATACACATTGTTTTCCAAATAAACAATCCTTTTAAATATAATGATAAAGGTTTAGATATTTCAGCAAGCTCACAATGCCATAATAATAAATTCATTGTAAATATTGGAGGTTTTGATTGAATTTATTATCTAAAAAATAAATTATTTATATTCAAAAATATCGATAGTTGGTAGTAGAGATAGATTAATTTAAGTTATACTTTATAAATTCTTTAAAAGAGTATCAATAAATAAATAGGTGAAAATAATGATAAAGAGACATCGCCGCCGAAGTCGGCGGTGATTTTTTAGGGGGGTAGGCAAAGGTTTTTGAAGGGGGTTTGCAGTGAAAATCCTGTTATGTAGACGCTGCATATTATCTAAAGGTTCCCTATCAACAATTATTCAACTTTTTCTGGAAGTATTCTTTAATTTTCCTTACTAAAATTTGCATTAAAATTGTAAAATTTTTAAATTAAAAACGATCCACCGCCCACCCTTAAAGTAATTAAATTATATTTTAGTTTTTGGGTATAGGCTCTTTCTTTGTCCCACTCCTTTTAAATTAAAGCCTATAGAGGTTTAAGCAACATTTTTCGAAATGTTGTGCCTACAAGCACATGCGGCTTGCCCACAAAGGTGTGGAGGGCTCCTCATATTTTTACTTTTATACCCAAATTAAATTGTTCCAATTAGATGGAAATGAGGAAAACCTAGCGTAGCTCTGTTGAATCTTCAACGCTAGAGGGCAAAAGCGCTATATATCACGTATCACGTAATAGTTTCATTTAACTTAACTTGATAGTTTCATTTAACTTAACTTAATAGTTTCATTTAACTTAACTTGATAGTTTCATTTAATTATTTAATAGTTTTGCTTATATATAAAGGATAAAATTATAGTTTTTTTAGTCATATATTGTAGTTAAACATTTTAAAATATATTTATATAATAAAAAAAATTTGTAATATCTTGCTTTACTCCCTGCCTACTATAACAAAAAGAAAATGGCAAGCCAGAATCTGTAGGAATTAAACTTATTCTAGGAATGAGAACTTTAGTACTGAGAAAACTACCAGAAACAAATTCCGCCTCAATTATATTTGGTAGCGAAGAAGTTATAATCAATTTAGTCACATTATTCAAACCAGAAGCAGAATTTAAGTTACGCATTAACATTATAGGTACCCCGACTTTGAGTAAAAGTTTGTGAGGTGGTAATCCTGATATACTTAAAGAGTTTAAAAATTCAGTGGGATAAAACGTCGCTTCATCCTCGGTTATCGTTTTATCAGCACTTATGTATGTAATTAGATCCCCCGGAATTTTGTTAATCAATTTAATATTTATAGAATCGACATCTACGTTCTTAGGGGTCAGGATTGCATTTTGATCAAATGATGTACGGTTAAAGGACGTATTGTCTTTGTCTATATTGTAAACAAAAGCAATAATATCCTCGACATCATTAGAAGCTATACAACAATCTTCAGGAATTTTTATTTTATCCCTGGAGCCATCAAATGTTTCATAGCCTTCACCAACTTAAAAGAAATTTTGAGTATTTATTATTAATAAGATATTCATTTGCTTCGTGAAAATGTAGAAGTCTCCTATTAATACCTAACCTTAATGGCACTATATGCAACCATAAATACGATCGTTTTAAGGTTGAGTTAACAATGTCGCATCTTCCACCACGTTTAATAACAGGTAAAATCTGTCTAAAATCTCCGCCAAAAATAATAAATTTACCACCAAACGGTTTATCTAATTTCATTATCTATATTATAATTTTCCGATGTCCTCACTAGGTCATCGTGACGTCATGTCATCGCTACGTCATGTCATCGCTACGTCATGTCATCGCTACGTCATGTCATCGTCATGTCATCGGTATGTATGTATTTATTTATTTTTTATTTGTTGATTTTATTTATTTATACAAACAGATGATGATATAACTTAAATTTTCTATGCAACTGTAGGAGGCCATATTAAACCCAACAAATAATACATTATTTACTATTGTTGATTTTATTTATTTATTTTATACAAACAGATGATCCTATAACTTAAACTTTCTATGCAACTGTATATTAAAACCAAAAAGTAATACATTATTTACTATTGTTGATTTTACTTATTTATTTTATACAAACAGATGATCATATAACTTAAATTTTCTATGCAACTATAGGAGGCCATATTAAAACCAAAATTAATACATTATTTACTATTTTATTTATTTTATACAAACAGATGATCCTATAACTTAAATTTTCTATGCAACTTTAGGAGGCCATAAAGTAGTATTCTTAAAAAGTCGAGTTCACCCAAATCTGACTCAGAGTCTGAGTCGTTAGTCGACTCACTGAAGTCGTGAACTCGAGTTGAGAACTCAAGTCGTGAACTCGAGTTGAGAACCCAAGTCGACTCAAGTCGTGAACTCAAGTCGTGACTCAAGTCATGAACTCAAGTCGACTCGAATCGTGAACTCCAGTCAACTCGAGCCATGAACTCAAGTTGACTTGAGTCGAGAACATGAGTTTTCCACTTGAGTCGGGAACTTAAGTCGACTAGAGGACGAATATTTGGAATAGGTATTGTATAATATTATTTTTGTTACAATTAATTTGTGGTTTTCATGCAAAAATTTTAAGCAAAATTTGAATTGATAAGAATTTAAAATCTTCTTTTTTAATTAATTTTTTTGTGAAATATTAACCTTTTAGTTAAAATCCTTTATAGGTTCATTTTTATCATTTTTGTAAAATTATCTATTTTTTTTTTAGTTTATTAAAAGAACTAGTTTAAATAATTTATAAATATTTATATTAAATTTTTATGTTATTTTACATGATCGTCTTATAATATTTTAATGTGACAATTGTCATGTTATTTTTTAACATTTTTGAAATTTTTGGTGCAAAAGGGTAAAAATATAATTTATATTATAAATATGTTAAATTATAAATTCAATGATGATGTTCCTTTGTAAAAATGACAAATATCATAATCTGTATTTTAAAACATATTAGTTTATTTTTGACGCTAATGGGTAAAAATATAGACTGAAAAATGTTAAATTAAAATTTCAGTGGAGATGTACCATAGATATTGTCATAATCATTATTTTTGAACTTTTTTGAATTTTTTTAAAGTAAATCGGTAAAAATATATATTGTAAAAATGTTAAATTAAAATTTCAATGAAGATATACCATAGAAAGTGACAATTGTCATAATCGTTATTTTTGAACTTTTTTGAATTTTTTTGAAGCAAATGGGTAAAAATATATATTGTAAATATGTTAAATTAAAATTTCAGTGAAGATGTACCATAGAAAAGTGACAATTGTCATAATTGTTATCTTTTAACCTTTTTGAATTTTTTTAAAACAAATAGGTGAAAACATATATTGTAAAGATGTTAAAATAAAATTTCAGTGAAGATGTACCATAGAAAAGTGACAATTGTCATAATCGTTATTTGTGAACTTTTTTGAATCTTTTCAAAGCAAATAGGTAAAATATTTATTGCAAACATGTTAAGTTAAAATTTCAGTAAAGATGTACCATAGAAAAGTGACATTTGTCATAATATTATTTTTCAACTTTTTGAATTTTTTAAAAGAAAACTGGTAAATATATATTGTAAACATGTTAAATTAAAATTTTAGTGAAGATACCACAGAAAAGTGACAATTGTCATAATCGTTATTTTTGAACTTTTTTGTTAAAACGAGGTGACCTTTAGCCTACGCCCGTTTATCTTATTAGGCGAGGAGGAGAGCACACTTTTTAATTACATAACCATTTAAATTTGAAAGTAAGAAGATTGATTTGTAAATCTACACGTATAAATAAATTTCTTGATTTGAAAACTATTTAAATAAAAAAAAAGATTAAGTTTTGTTAATTGGTTAGTTGTGTAACCCCCAGACCCATTGTTTTGGTCTAAAAATTGACTAAACCAGCTCTGATCATGAGCCTCTGAAAAAGACCCGGGGTTCACACACTTAATCGCCACGCCTAAAAAATGTGAACATGTATTTTCTTTAAAAAATATTACAAAATGATACTGAATTTGTTATTGTTTATATAAAGTATTTAAGAATAAATGGGGGGGGGGGGGTAGTTAACTAAACCTTTTTTCGCAAAATCGATTTTCATAATTCTTCCTCAAAAAAATTTTTCTCGCAATTGATCAGACGTACCATGTTTTCTTTAAAAGTCAAAACAAATCTTTTCTTCTTTTAATAATTTTTTTCAAAAAGGCAAAGACATAGCCATTTATGGCACATTTTCCCTATAATGTCAATATTATTTTTAATTTCATATAATAAAATATGGAATCCCGGAAAAAAACCCAGAAAAAAAACCTCGGAATAAAAACCTCCCGTAAAAAACCCCGAAATTTTTTTCCGATACTTAGGACCTAATAATAATATTTTTATTTGGATTTAATAAATTAAAGGCAAATTAGTATTTTAGAAAAAATTATTATAGAAATATAATTTAATAATAAATTTTTTAGGCCCCAATTCATTACTTAAAGATTACTCATATACCCTCCATAAAAAATGCTGATGTTCAAATTGGTATTGGGACAAAAATTACCCCAGTAAAATAACCCATGTATTACTAATTTTCGTAAAAATTATTTGCTATAGTAATAAATACAATATCCATCCTTAATTACTATATTAAATAGACTAAAAATTTGCAATAAGATCTGTTTATTTTATTGAAAAATCATTATATATATACAAATTTAATAATTTAGAATAATAATTATATCGGTTGACATCAAATAAAGGTAAAAATCGCCCTTATAAAATCTAATCTAGAAGGCTTTGCACCCTATCACGGCATTCCTCGCAAAGTTTCTTTAACCGAATCTGGGTATTATAACTCTGCGATTTTGTTTTGGTGTCCAACTACCTACACACCATCGTTCAAGTTTGGTTTCATCGGCAGCAACCTCGCATTTCATTTTATTAATCAATACCCAAATTGATGGGCGTTTATTCCCAACAAGATTTGAAAAATGATGATCCCAACCTTCGCATTGATTATTTGTGGGTTCTTTATCAGATAGGGTGCTCTCATTCACGTTCCAAGTTTCAGGAGGAAATCGAGGCCCAATTCGACGTGTCTGGGATTGGGAATTGCTTCTTGTGACCTCCCTTGACTCCATTGATGTAATTTTTATCGAAATATTCAAGAATATCTTTACCATTGGTCGGAGTAACGATCTCAGGAATGCCATTGCATTGCCCATATCACATAAAGGAACAAATGCTAAGCCGCCCCTCATGCCACAAAAGAAGCTTAGGGCTTCATCGGTTGTGTATTGGCTTTCCAGACATAGCTTTTGTAGTTTTCTATGGGTACTTTGACACAAATGGTAAATCATCCTCTGATTATAATATGATCCCATAATTGAAAAAACAAATATAATTAATTTAACATATTAATGATCATACCAATGACAGTTTTAACCTCGCTCATAGCAAATTTTTCGAAATCCATGTATATATATAATGGATCAGGAAATAAATCCCTTTCTTGACATTTAGATAATATTATTTAGAATATTTTTTCGTAAGATTTTGTGTTTTTGGGGGGGGGGGGGTACTGATATATAATTGCAGAAAATTTTTTGGGGACATAAAATTTCCACCCATATCAATATAATATGCCATGAGCACTCACTTATAAATTTATTTATCAAAATTAATTATTGCTCTAAAAAAATTAAATGAAAATTGAGAAAAGATCCGAAAAATAAAGATTAAAATAGAAATTAAATGACCAATCCCTCCCCTGTCTCTCTCTCCCATTGTTATTTAAAATTTGTAACAATAGCAAGATTTTTTGGTTCTTTAAATTATTTCAATTTAAAATGTATTATATATTTATTCTTAAATTTCAATGATTATAGCGCCTCGATGGCACCAGTAAGTTTTTTTTTATAAAAAAATATTCGATTAAAATTATGATCAAACTATTTATGATAATATAAAAAATTTTTTATTATTTACTCATATTATTTGTTATTATAATGCAAAATGTATCCAAATTTTTTGTGTTAAAAAAATTTTAAATAACAATATTTATTAATTTTTTAAATGTTTTTTCTTTTATATGTATTACATGATTTTTAAATAAAAGAATTAAGATAATATATAATTTTTATGTTGATAAATCTCATTTTGAACCTTTGCGCAAATAAACAAGAATATCTTTTAGTTCAATCTCCACTAAAAGTTCTCATAAAACTAACATTGAAAACGATCCCCTAATTTTTCTTCGTCTATATTATTTCTCAGCCTATTTTTAATAATTTACTAAATTTTCTCTCGCAATTAACTTAAGTAAATGATAAAGAAATGTATTCATATGAGAAAAATAAATTAGTGTATGCACTTGTGTGCATATTGTATCTTTTAAGAATTTCATATAGGCATATTAAACAATTGTTACATTTATTATCACAATTCACATTCTGAGTTATTATCTTATTCTATTTTTTCATTAGACTCCTCACCTCATAGGCGTAGCCAGGATTTTCATAAGGGGGGGGGGGAAATTAAAAAAAGCCTGGAACAAATATGAAATATATTTTTATTATTTTATATAAAATAAAAATATAATAAATTACTTGTATTGTATATACCTTAATATAAAAGCATGGTAATAATTTATTCCAAACAATTATAAGAAATTTATTTATAAAAAGTAAGTAGACATATAGTTGATTTTACTCTATTATATAGAATTAGTTATAAAATAATAGGTAAAATTCCACTTTTACAGACATATTTGACAGTTAGAGAATATTTTATAGTTAATAATTTAACAAATTTTACTAATCAATGCTCTTGATATTAAATAATTATTAATGCCATCTATTTATTTCTAATAATAAATGATATTAAAAATTAATTTTGATATTATTTATCCCAAAATGTCTTTAAAAGATATTTTCTTATGTCCTTATCAATATTTTATAGTTTTCTGTAAAATATATATTTCGCTATATTAGTAAAAATTACTTGATTGCCATATGATATTTAATAAAATTAGATATACTAATCTACCACATATAATATTCCACTGTTTGTATTGTGCTTTAATATTTTTTTAATTTATGATTTAATTTTATCAATAGTTTTATAATTATATTTTACTTTTATTAAGATAAATAAATTAAAATTACTCACTTTATAAAAAAATATATTATATTATTTAGTAATTTTATGGATCTATTATTAATAATTATAATACATTTCACTTCTGTCTTAAGACTTATCTTTGGCTTATATTCCATTTATTAAAAAACATTTTTGGTTCATTTTATATATTTATAAATTTATTTTCCCAAAAATCTATAAATTATGATGAATAGTTTTATAAAAAAATAACAAATTTTACATTCTTTCTTTTAAATTATTATTTAAGATATATGCATACTTTTTGAGGGTCAGGGAGTGGGGGGAGGACTAAGGGGGATATTTTTTATTAGCTAAAAATGATATTTACAAAAAGTGATAAATTTCTGAAGGGGGGGGAATGTCCCCTTGTCCCCCCCTCCTGGATACGCCTATGCCTCACCTGCTCATACGATATCATCGTCAGTTTCATTTAATTTTGCTATTAAATCTTTGAATTCACAGGCAAATGAACACAATTCGTTAGGTTATTTAACATTCAATATATTTGTTGTGTAGCTTTTTCCAAGGCCTTTTCAGAAATACCTTTACTATTATTTTTATCAAAATGCCTAGGATAATATTGCACATTAAAAATAAACTCTCTTTTTGCAGAAAACCGTTCTGATGCTTATAATTTGACCAATTCTGAACGAAATACTTCGACCCTATAATTTCAAATCAAATCCAACAAGTTTTTTTTTTATCTCATTAATTTTTCCGACGATAAGATCCACAACAGTTATCGATAATCTGGTATTTAAAAAAAAGTTATGAAGAATATATTTTTTTAATGTTTACCTAATAAATTTTAAATAACAAATAAAAGTTATTTATTAGCGAGCCCATTATTAAAATTTTTCAAAGGTCCGTTAGCACTTTTAAAATTATTTAGCTAGCCAGCCCAATTTGATAGAAAGGCGTGGGCTAAAAACCAGATCATTTGGGCAAAAAAATTCAAAAATATTTTAAATAACGATTAACTGAAATTTTAATTTAACATGTTTACAATATATAATTTACAAGTTTGCTTTAAAAATTTTCAAAAAGGTTCACAAATAATGATTATGACAATTGACACTTTTTTATGGTACATCTTCACTGGAATTTTAATATAAAATGTTTATAATATATATTTTTACTTATTTTCTTTGAAAAAATTCAAAAAAGTTCCAAATAATGATTATAACAATTGTCACTTTTCTATGGTGCATTTTCACTGAAATTTTAATTTAACATTTTTACAATATATATTTTTACCGATTTACTTTAAAAAAATTCAAAAAAGTTCAAAAATAATTATTATGACAATTGTCACTTTCTATGGTACATCTTTACTGAAATTTTAATTTAACATGTTTACAATATATATTTTTACCCATTTGCTTCAAAAAAATTCAAAAAATTTCAAAAATAACGATTATGACAATTGTCACTTTTCTGTAGTATCTTCACTAAAATTTTAATTTAACATGTTTACAATATATATTTTACCCATTTGCTTCAAAAAAATTGAAAAAAGTTAAAAAAAATTACGTTTATGACAATTGTCACTCTTCTATGGTACATCTTCACTGAAATTTTATTTTAACATCTTTACAATATATATTTTTACCTATTTACTTTAAAAAAATTCAAAAAATTTAAAAAATAACAATTATGACAATTGTCACATATCTATTGCGTTAAAAAATTTCAAAAAACTTTAGAAATAACGATTATGACAATTGTCACTTATCTATGATACATCTACATCGAATTTTTAATTAAACGTATTTACAATCTAAATTTTTACCTATATGCGTCAAAAAATTTCAAAAAACTTTAGAAATAACGATTGTGACAATTGTCACTTATCTATGATACATCTTCATCGAATTTTTAATTAAAAGAATTTACCATCTATATTTTTATCTATGTGCGTCAAAAAAATTTCAAATTATTTTAGAAATAACGATTATGACAATTGTCACTTATCTAGGGTACATCTTCGGTTAATGATGCTTACTACCAAGTGAATGTATGGAAATATTCTAAATACCAACCTAATTTGCTAAATACCGACCAAAATTTATTAAAATGTAATAAGATCATTATTATTTAATATATTAATACGGAATCACGTGGTCGAGTCCGGCCTCCTATATATTATTCCCCCAAGGATGCAACCACCAAGTTAGAATAAGAAAAAAAACATGATCATTCCCGGGGTTCGAACCAAGGACCATGGGATAAGTAAACCAAGCTCTTGCCTACTAGGCCATAGAGGCTTTCCAAAAATCACGATTTTTCAAATATATATTATAAATATATTTGGTAGTGCCTATCCAAATGAAAAATGATCAAAATTCAAATTTGATAGATGGTACCTTAAGGTACCAAGCATCATTAACCTACATCTTCATCGAATTTATTTACAATCGATATTTTTACCTATTTGCGTCAAAAAATTTCAAAAAACTTTAGTAATAACGATATGACAATTGACACTTATCAAGGGTACATCTTTACTGAAATTTTAATTTAACATATTTACACTATATATTTTTACCTATTTCCGTCAAAAAATTCAAAAAACTTTAAAAATAACGATTATGACAATTGTCACATATCTATGGTACAACTTCACTAAATTTTTACTTAAACGTATTTACAATCTATATTTTTATCTATATGCGTCAAAAAATTTCAAAAAACTTTAAAAATAACGATTATGACAATTGTCACTTATCTAGGGTACATCTTCACTGAAATTTTAATTTAACATATTTACAATTTATGTTTTTACCCATTAGCGTCAAAAATAAACTAATATGTTTAAAAATATAGATTATGATAATTGTCATTTTTAGAAAGGAACATTACCATTAAATTTATAATTTAACATCTTTATAATATAAATGATTAAGGATATCATTTATTTTCTCTTATTATATCCTTTATTTTCAATTTTCAAATAATAAATAATATAAAGTATTAAAAAAAACGAAAATATAATATTTTATGTTTTAATATATTTAAAAATGTTTGAAAAATATATAATAATACTATTAAAAAAAAGAACGGAGATGGTGTGACGCAGGGAAACAAAAATGAAAAAGGGACGTAAGTGTTGTCTAGGATAGCTCTTTGGCTAGAAGACTACCATTGAAACTGATATAATTAGCTTTGAGAATCGCTATGGATAATCGTTGACGAAGAAAAAAACCCTCTCGAGGTTCTTCTGAGAGTTTGCTGATTTGTGATCCTAAGTTTTTGAAAAATGATAAGGCGAGTTTGCCGAAGGTGCCAAGAGTGGTTGATATGATTGGGATGAAGCAATGATCGTTCATTGTGTATTTAGAAGTTTTAATGGTCAAGGATGTTGATGGCGTGGTTGGATGGGGCCAAGGGATCAATACAGGAATAGTCCCATACCAAAAGTTGGCCTCTCTTCCATAGGATTTGAGAGATCCCGTCAGGACGTTTACAGTCAGATCTAAAAAGACCCCGTGGTTCTAGAGTGGAAGGAATTTGGGCGGATTTCAGTGCATGTTGGATGATTGTATTACATTGCTTGTGTCTGATGAATCGTCCATTGCAGGAGCGACAATGTAAACTATGTCTACCCTTCGAGTCAACTGGCGAGTTGCACCCTGAGCAGATGTGAGGGTGAGTGATGGAACAATTTAGACGAATGCCGATGGCGTGGGTAAATTCATTGTTGGATAGTTGAAGCTGAAGATTGGCAGATGGGATGGCCTCAAGAAACTCATGTCCCGTACCATTGAGCAGGGAAGAGAATAGGGTGCGGTCGGTAGATTGCATGCTAGATAAGAGAGTTTCAACGCAGTGAGCTACTGGTGCATCCCAGTCTTTCTGTCTATGGGTTGTGGGGGGATGAGAATCAGCATTGATCCTTGTTTTCCAAATATCCATAGCCACGATTAAGGAAAGGTCTTCTTTAGAATTATGGGCGGTGGTTATTGGCTTTGTCAAAAGACTACTCGATATGAAAGTAGTTATTGCTAAGTCATGTGGAGATCTGATGCCGAGACCACCAAATTTGGTTGGAAGAGTTGCTTGGGCCCAGGCGGTTGAATCTGATATTTACTATTTTAGTCCTTTATTCCTTTTTCGTAAGTTTGGAGAGGAATGGGATATTTAAAAATTGGTGTTGACCGAAGTGCGTAAAGAATCCTTGGTATAAAAAAGAAATTTATTAGCAAAAAAAAGGACTTGTGTGATGGAAGAAGTGTAAAGATGTCCTCCAGTTTAAGGAGTATGTCAAGTGTGGAATGAAGAAAGGTGCATATTGCCTCGTGTCCTCCTACAGGCGATCCTAGATGTGTTAATTCAACGCTTGATGTGAATTTGAAATCGTGAGTGTTGGGAGCATTATATTTTTTATTTTTGGAAGGCAATTAATAATTCCTCTATCTGCTGAAACTTATCAGCAATATAAGATTTGCAATCTAATTTTTAAATAGTTTAAAATTTTTAAAGGGGGTATATCATTAAAATAATTTTCTGGCATCCCCCTCCTTTAAGGCCTGGCGTAATTGCCTTCCAAAAATTAAAAATATGAATTTAATTATATTTTTATCCTTTTCTGTCAAGACGATCATGTAAAATAACTTATAAAAGTTTAATATAAATATTTAAAAATAAATTATTTAAACTAGTTCTTATATACTAAAAAAATAGATAATTTTACAAAAATGATAAAAATAAACCTATAAATAAAAGATTTCAACTAAAAATGTTTATTTAAATAAAATTTACAAAAGAATTAAAAAAGTTTGTTAACAAAAAAGAAAAAATCATTTAAAATTCAAATCAAATCAAATTTTGCTTAAAATTTGGGCGTGAAAATCACTAATTAATTGTAACAAAAATGATATTACTTAACTTACATTGCAGCTTATCATTTTTTTATTAAAAGATATCAAATAAATATTAATTTTCATAATATATTATAAAATAAAAAATATTAAATTATATCATTTAAAATATAATAAATATTTAAATATCAAACTAGGACATGTTTTTCGAATAAATATTTAAAATTATTTTAAAATATAAGATTAATCAATTAATGTCTCTCAAAATGATTATTTATATTTTAAAAATGTTAAAATTCTAAAAAAAAAAATGCGGGAGAAATTAAAAAATTGCGGTAGATTTTTGCGGGAGATTTCCAATTGCGGTAGTTTTGCGGGAAAAAGATGTCTGCATTTAAACTAAAAAATTAGGCTATCATCAAAAAATAAAATTTGTCTAGTTGGGGACTTATCAAGACTATCATGTTTTTCTGAACATTTGTTTTGTATTTGTTGATTATTAATGGTAGATATATCAATATTTAAACAATTATAAGGTGGAAATAAAGCAGGGTATGTTATCTAAAATAAAAACAAATAAAAATTTTTTAAAAAAATGAATGCGTTAAACATGCAGAGGAGTCAATATTAGGTTTTCCTTAGAAATAGTGGGAATATCATCAGAAGCTAAAATGGATGTATTCTAAAATATAATAAAATATAAGAACATTTATGCCTTTTTAGTATATATATATATACACTAACTTTATTATGTGTTGTTAGTATATTTTGCTGGGATTAATCCCTATAGCTATTCTTTTTGTTGATTGACCTGCCATCTTTTTCTTTCATTAATGACGGATAAATCACCATCTGTACAATCATTAAGTGAGGTTAAGACAGGGTTTGTTATTTAAAATAAAAACAAAAGAATAATTAAAAAAATATAAATGCATTGAACCTGAAGAGGAGTCCATATAAGATTCAACTCCCTAGAAATAGTGGGAACATCATCTGAAGCTAAAATAAGATGTAAAGAGTATAAAAAAACATTTATGCATTTTTAATATATATATATAGCTAACTTTATTTTGCTGTTAGTAGATTTTGTAGGGCCTCACTATCCCTGGAGCGTTTCTTTTTTTGATTGACCTGCCCTCTTTTTATTTTAAGATTTTGTAGGGCCTCACTATCCCTGGAGCGTTTCTTTTTTTGATTGACCTGCCATCTTTTTATTTTATTAATGACGGATAAATCACCACCTGTATCATTAAGTGAGGTTAGGACATGGCTTGTTATCTAAAATATAAACAAAAGAATAATTAAAAAACATATTAATGTATTAAACCTGAAGAGGAGTATAAAATAATAATAATTTGTAATATTTAGTAAATAATGTAATACTTTGACAATTGGTTTTAATATGGCCTCCTACAGTTGCACTAATTTTGAAAAAAATCATGTGAATTGGTAATAAGGGAAACTGAGAAAACCTGAACAAAGCGCTTATTAGAGATCATTACAAAATAAGATTTGCATAGAAAACTTAAGTTATAGGATCATCTGTTTGTATAAAATAAATAAATAAAATCAACAATAGTAAATAATGTATTACTTTTTGGTTTTAATATGGACTCCTACAGTTGCATAGAAAATTCAAGTTATAGTGTTGTATTATAATAAATATTTATTTATTATATAAAAATAATTGATAAAAAAATTATATTAAAAAAGAAATATAATATATTTTGTAAAAATCGGCGTTTTCATTTTTTGTTGAAAAATCGTGAAAAATATATATAATAAAGAAAAATAAAGGAGTGTTAAAAATATTTTGTATTTGACTCTAAGAAAATCCAAGAATAAAAAATATATAAAAAATAAGGTTAGAAAAGTGGTGCCGTGTAAAAACGACACTGAGAATTAATTTGGCATAACCAATTACTACCACTTATATGACGGCTAAAATTTAAAATAAAAAAAAAGGGGAAAAATTTATAATAATAAAAGGTAAAATATTTTTATTTGAATGAATTTTATAACAATTTTATTAATAGCTTTAGCGTATTTTTTTTTATTTAAAATTATAAAGATTTATATAATAAAATTTTTAATAAATTTATTATAATTACACAAAAATTTGAATAAATTGTAAGGTAAATTTAAAAAAAAAAAAATTATGTTTAATAAAAAAGTGATAAAAGCTTATAATTATATAGAAATCAGGAATTTATCACAATGTATTTATTTAATATTACTTCTAAGTCTAATATTAAGTATTTATTTTTGGTATAAAAGAAGAAATTTTAATAGAGAGGCAAATAAAATAAGATTTTTAAAACAAATGGATAGAGAAAAAAATGAAAAATATGATAATGGAAAAGTTATATAATGAAATAGTTTGATGAAAAATATGAAATTTTAAAAACAGATATTTTTGGAGATTCTAAAAAAAGAAAATTTGGAATTAATGTTGATAAAACAGAGATTATTAGAGATTCTGAAAAAGAAAGAAATGAAATTGATACGGAAAATAAAAATATAGGAAATGAAAATAATGAAATTGAAATAACAAATATGATAAAGGATATAGTAATAAAAGAAATAGAGATTGAAGATATAAAAAAAAGGAAAATTGAGAAATAAAATTTGGAAAGGGAAAATAAAGAAAAAGAAAAAAAAGAATTACTTAAAAGAGTTGAAGAGATGAAATGGGAAATTAAAAAATTGAATGAAGCAAATCAAAGGTATAATAGTGGAACGGGTCAAAATAGAACGTGTTATAATTGTGGAAAATATGGACATATAAGCAGATAATGTAATGAAGGAATAAATAAAAAAATGTTACGCGTAGTTTGCAAAAGATGTGAAAACCGAGGACATAATGCTGAGGAATGTTATGTTCTGGCATATAAATTATTAAATGAAAAACAAAAAAATACAGCGGCGTGTGAAAATTGTGGAAAGTTAGGGCATAATCAGGATAGGTGTAATAAAAATCAACAGGGAAATTCCAAAGCATTTCCAGCCGTGGAATATAGAAAAACATGAAGGGAATAATATTTATGAAAAAAGAAATGTAGAAGATATAACGTGTTTTAAATGTCGTAATATTGGTCATTATGCGAGAGATTGTACAGTAGGATGACTCTATGATTGTGAAATAAAAACATTTAGAGGAGTTACATCAAAAAATGAGTTGGATCTATTGAAAGAAAATATATATAAGAATAAGATAAATGATCATAATAAAATAGAAAGAAAAAATGAAGGAAATGTAAATAACACTTATGGGATTTATAAAAATATGTTGGAAAATGAAACACTAAAGAATATACATATTAATAATTTACCGATTTTCAAGTTGGAAGATAATAAAAATTTTGATCAATGTCCAAGAGTAAAAGTGAATGTAGGAAATAAAGAGATTTTGATGTTATTGGATACAGGGGCAACAATATCTGTGATGGGCTATAATAAATTTTACAAGTTATGGCCGAATGAACACATAATTAAAAATAAAACGCTATTTTATAAAAAAAGTAGCGCGCTATCGCTACCGCTATTGTTTTCAAATGAGTAGCGCGCTATTAGCTACTTTTAAAAAAAGTTGCTAAAGCTACTATGATTTTTTTTTTAAATATTTTTTTTTACGTAACTTTATTTCCACAAATAAAATATTGATATAAAAACATGACTATATTTGTTACATATATATATAATTTATTTATTATTGCACTTTAATAATAATAACATTTCGGTACTGTCATCCCCAAGTCTAGAGCGACGATTAGAAAGTATAAGCTTTGCCATACTAAATAATCGTTCAGCACTAGCACTTGAGGGCAACGCAGTATTAAATTTAATAAACAAACTTTTTATATGAAAAAAATCATCAAAAATATTTAAATTAGTATTTTTAGATTTAAAAAAAGCATTTAGAGGTTAATTAAAAATACTTCAGTATATTCTTTAATAAAGGTATGCTACTCCACATTAAAATACTGTATTCCCATTTGATCTATATAATTCATTTCCATTTTTTTCTCATCTAGAAACAATGCTAAAAGTTTCATAGCATTGTAAACACTATTCCATCTTGTAGTGTTTGGTGTAAATAACGTCCTAATTTTTTTTTTTGAAAATATCAGACGTCTTTGATGAATTATTTTGTTTATTCCAAAGAGCTTGGCATTTAGAAAATGTAGATCTTGATACTCTTTTAAAATCCTCATTTAATAATGCTTCTTCAGCATCCACTGTCGCAACTAAATTTAGGTAGGTTGTGGCAGGAAGAACGATGATGGCTAGGTAACGTAGAAGACTTTATTGAAAATCCTAAATATTATAAATTTTATTTTATATTGGTGAAAAATTAAATATAAAATAATTTAAAACCAAGGATGTCATGAACATCAATTATCTCAAACTCCATTTCATCATCCTCTTCTTGTTCTCCATCTTCAATATTTTTTTCAGGAATATTACTAGTATTGTTTTTATTATTATCCTCCCCAAATATTCCATATTATTTATATCATATTATAAAAAAATTTTAATAAATTTAAAACCTGAAGTCCTTTAGGAAATTAGACCCATTATCCGTAATCATCTTACAAACCTTGTTTTGAATTTTGTAAGACCTATGGATTTCTACAATAATATTGGCTAGAATGTCATAAGTCTGACAGCCAATTATTCTCTTTAGAGCTTACAGATTTTCGTTTAAGATTTTTAGGATCAATTCAATGTGCAGAGCTCTAAAAATATGACATATTATAAATCAGAAAATAAACATTTTTACCTTTTATTGTGAGTCCCGCAATCTGCCATTGTACAGACGTAGGAGACATCTGATAGATTTAATATCAAAGATTCTTTCATTTCCTTAAAGCTCTCCAAAATTCTTGCCATCAATGTCTGCCGGCAAAATATCTTGGTCCGTGGAGAAAAAGTGTTTGTCATCTTTATAAAAGAATCATTATCCACCAAGGATAATGGTTGAACTGTATCTATTATAAAGTTTATAATGACTTTGTCAGCCAATTTTTGGGATACACCAGGTGTTGATGAATCCAAATTGGTTAATTTTGTTTGTATTAAATTTGATTTGGAAGTGGGTTTATCTTCTTCCATTACCCCAAAACTTTTGAGATATTTTTCAATCTCTTAATAATTTGAAGTGTGCACAGTCTAAAATTATAAAATACTTAGAATAAAAATTATGTAGGAGATAAGTACATAAAAATGATTGAAATAACTATTTTAAAATGTTTTAAATAATTTAGATAAAATTTATGAATATATAAAAAAATAATTGGTTTTTGATTTTAATTTATTTTAAAAATTAAAGATTAGCCTACACATTGATATTAAATTTGTTTAATATATTACCTTTAAATGTTTTTTCAAACTAAAGCTGCTCGTATGATTTGAAGAGATAATTTTGCGGCACATCTTGCACCGAAACCGATATCCAGTTATAATTTTTTCTTCAAGGTTAAAGTATTTCTTGAATTTTGGGAAAGGATCATCTATATTTTGCTCATTCCAAAGAAATTTCAATATCTTCAACAATCTCACACATAACAAGATTTATAATGCTTAATATAAAATGTAAAATGAAATATAAAATAAGATAAAAGCAAGGACATACCAATAACGGAATTTCAAAAATATATAATTTAATGAATGCGCGAAATATAAATTAAATACAGATTGCTATTTAACAACTGTTTATATCTAATATATAACAATAATGTATATTTTTAAATATAAATATAAATTTCAAAATTAAATTAAATATAAGGATTATAATTTTAGATTTTATAAAAAATATATTTTAATAATTTTTAGATGTATTTATTATGTAAAATTGAAAGTAGCGAGCTACCGCTATCGCTATTTTTTTTAAAAAGTAGCGCGCTATAGCTACCGCTACTGAAAAAAGTAGCGCGCTATTTTAACAACACTAATAATAATGATCTTATTACATTTTAATAAATTTTGGTCGGTATTTAGCAAATTAGGTTGGTATTTAGAATATTTCCATACATTCACTTGGTAATAAGCATCATTAACCGAAAATATCAACGATATAAAGTTTCGCTCAACGTCGATAACAAGAGAATTTCAATGATTGAATCAAAAGAATCTAAAAATACATTCTTAAATTATAGTTACGGTTAAATGTGGCATGTAGTACCTTGAAAAAGGGGTACATGTATTATAATAAATATTTATTTATTATATAAAAATAATTGATAAAAAAATAATATTAAAAAAATATTATATTTTGTAAAAATCGGCGTTTTTTATTTATTCTTTTTTTGTTGAAAAATCGTGAAAAATATATATAATAAAGAAAAATGAAGGAGTGTTAAAAATATTTTGTATTTGACTCTAAGAAAATCCAAGAATAAA